TCGGAGAGCCCGGCAAGCTACCGAGAGTATCTCGCCCGCACGGCAGAACCTGGCAAGCTCCCCGTGACGTATTCGATATGCCAAACACAGTAACAACAAAGTCTCCAATGGAGATGTTACTGGGCCCGCTCGAGCAAATTGATGAATAACGGGAGGACCATGACCGTGACTGAATACATATAAGAAAGTTTTCGAGGGTTGATCATTTGCGGCCATCACATGTGTGCTGACGGCTTCTGACAAGTCTCCCAGAGAGTAAGACAGCCACTGAGCAGAAGAAACTGTCAATCTCAGGTTCAAATGCAACGGAAAATATGTATAAGGGATGATGAACCAGGCAGCTAAATTTAGGATCCCTGAAAACAAACTCAAGAAAAATATTATTTTTTAAAAAAGAAAAAGAAAGAAGCTTAGTTTGCTATCATTTGGAGGGGGAAAAAAACCCCAACCCAAGTGATATTTTTATATGCAAGGTTTTCCAAGGAAGGAAATAAAATTTTTGACCCGTGTTGAGAGAAGCTAGCTGTTTTTCCTCTGTTCTTAGGGAAAGATCAAAACTAGTCAGACAAACCACATTCAGGTAAGCAGAGGTTAAAAAAAAAAAGTTAAGTAAGGATTTCTATGATTTCTTATCAGTCCCTTTAGGAATTCCAGGTGTTCAAGGAAAAAGCTAAATTCGATAATCCTTAGCAAACGCTTGACATGATAAAATGACAGCGAAATGATTTCTGGTTTCATTAGTTCGCTCAGAGAAGAGCTATGATGTGACTACTGCCATCGTCTTCCATGGTTCTCCCCATTTCTTCCAACACACACACACACACACACACACACACACACACACACACACACACACACTCTCCCTTCGCATCACGCACAATTCTCCCAGCAGCAGGGGCTGAAAGTTTCAGGGCCGGGTAGGGGAGTCTCTGGAACTTTCTGAGGCCCTGCAAGTCTCATGATTCACTGCACTCTTGTTAAAAGCACTCAATTATTCTGTCTGGGAAGATCTTTTAGTTACAGGTTCTCTAATAATAATAATAATAATATGGGGCTGGAACGATAGCACAGCAGGAAGGGCATTTAACTTGCACGTGGCCGACCTGGGTTTGATTCCCAGCATCCTATTATAGGGTCCCCCGAGCACTGCCAGGAGTGATTCCTGAGTGCAGAGCCAGGAGGAACCCCTGAGTACTGCCGGGTGTGACCCCCAAAAAGCAAAATAATGATAATAATAATAATAATAATGAAAATCTACAGAACTTTCAGTTCAAAGAGCATCCCCTGAAAACAGGCCCTTCTGGGTAGCGGCAGGGCACTGGTCCTTCATATGACCTACTGGGTCCCCGACACCCCATATGGCCGCCCGAGCACTGCCAGGCGTGACCCTGAGCTCAGAGCTGGGAGTATGCCCTGAGCACCCCAACTCCCCACAAAGAGAAAGTCACTTCTGTCTAGCAACAGCACATCCTCAGGTCCCGGGGGGCTGTGAATCTCTAGGAGGGGTGGAGAGCTCGCTGAGCACCAACTGGAAGCCCCCTTGAGCCCCCCAGAAACACTTATGGAAGCAGCTACAGCGGTGCTGTGTTTCAGCTGTGGAATTCAGTGCACCAGGAGTTAACGGATTAACTTGCAGGGGCAAGTGACGCTGGTACCCTGGTACCCTAGGAATCAGGGACGCATTTGGAGGCGAGATGCGATTTCTCTGAACAAAGCCGAGGGCAGGACTCGGCAAAAGAGGCTTCTTGAGTCTCAAGAGATGTTCCAACAGCCCAGCAGCCGAGTCGGGAGGACGTCGCTGGGCAGAGAACCCCGAGGGCCATCATTTGGAACTCATTTTCCCCCCAAATACACGCTCCGAATAAGTCACGCTGACAAGTTTCCAAGGAGTCGATCTTTAGCAGGGAGGGAAAGTGTGGCTGGTTGGAAGAGGAGAAATGAGAGATGACAGGCACGGAAGGGAGGGGGAAAACATTAAACTGCAAGTAAAAAAGAGAACGGCACGGCCCCTGGCTCCTGGCGCCAGTCTGCGTGGGGAGAGGCTTGGGGAAACAGTATAATAATATCTGTAGGTCATCTAAGACATGACCTTCGGGATGACACATTTGACCCGAGCTCAGAGGGCACCGGACCCCAGCAATGCTGGCCCCGAGGCCCTAAACGCTCCTCAGAACAGAACATCGATTCTAAATTATGGCTGATGACCTTACTTGTAATTTTTTTTTTCTTTTTGGGTCACATCCGGTGATGCTCAGGGCTCTGCACTCAGGAATTACTCCTGGCAGTGCTCAGGGGACCCTATGTGATGCTGGGAATCAATTCTGTAACTGTGTCTCACAGTGATGTGTTAAAAAAATGTGCCAGGCAAACACCCTCCCCACTGTGCTATTACTCCAGCTCCTTACTTATATATCTGAGAAAACATTTTAGGAAAGAAAGATGGGATTTTTTTTTAAAGACCTTCATACAGGTTCCACCGGGTACGGCCCATGCGCGTATGGCCCAAGCATCACAGGGTCCCGAGCTCTGGGTTCCTGCACACCAGGGGCTTGTGGCCCCACAAGTGGAAATAAACCAGCACAATCAAACAGAGAAGACAAAATGCCCCGAATGGTACCAGCCTGAAGAGCTTGATTTCAAAAGATCCATCTTCAGAATATCTGTTGTTTGTAAGTAAAGTAAAGGCCCTCCCGTTGATCGTCGATTTGCTCGAGCGGGCCCAGTAACGTCTCCATTGGAGACTTTGTTGTTACTGTGTCTGGCATCTCGAATACTCTCGGTAGCTTGCCGGGCTCTCCGAGAGGGGCGGAGGAATCGAACTCGGGTCGGCCATGTTGGCCGCGTGCAAGGCAGACGCCCTACCCGCTGTGCTATCGCTCCGGTGTTTTTACAAGGATTTCATGTATGTATAAATTTCTCAGCATTAATAATCATTAATAATCACCACTTCATTTTAATGCTTTCCTAATCCAAAGTGTCTCGTCAAGTTGTTGGATGTCAACCCAAAGTGTTTTAGGCTTCATCAGTGAATGGCCCCTTTGCCTCTTCCCAGAGAAGCTTACCATGCTCTTGTTAACATCCCTAATTTAGTTAAAGTTTACAGTTCCCCAAGTCAGTCTTGATTGCTTATAAGCCAAAACTTCCTGGTGATTCTGAACTTTGTATTTGTCCTGCTTTGTATTTGAAGCGCTGTGTATCAGTACCTGCTTTTCTATTTCCGGATATCTTTTTATATTTTACTATAGAGCAATGTTCTTCGGTTAAACACATTAATTAAACCATTAATGCTGTGCTCCTAATATTTGGAAGTTGACTGACTCTGAAATATATCTACTCCTGGGCATCCGTCATAATTACTAGACCCAGGGTCCAGTTGCTGTAGTTTCTAACACCCCCAAAGGGAGGTCCCGCCATGGGACTGGGATGGACCTGGGGCGAGTGGCAAAGCTACCCCGGCATCAAAATGGAACAGTCTAGAAAACATAAATGCATGGTCTTGATGCAAGCTGTTATGACTTAAGAGACAGGAACCCCACAGGGAAGGACAACCTGAGGACTTAGTCTGGGATTTACGGTAAAAGCCTCCTCACTCGCTCTCAGCCCAGAGAACTAAGTGTTGGGACCTTTGTCTCTTGCTGTGTTTATCCAAACCACTGCAAGTATTGACAACTTATACAGCTACAGGAAAAAAATAAAAGCAACGAAGATGTCCCTTGCCTTAATCTCCCCAAGAGAATTTTCTGCGCTAATGACTCCCTATGCAAATGATTTACATAAATTTCCAGATGTAAAAGATCGATCACACCTAAGCGCTATGCCTCAACCCCCCTCAGATGTTCTATGAGGATGCATTAAACGGGCCATTTGCACCATCAGGCTGGGGTCCTGCCTCCCCGTCTCTCTGCCTCGCTGCTGGGGAGGCCTGGAGAGGAGAGAGGCGGCTCTGGACCACCAAAGACATGAAGAGTTGCAGCCCCCACCCGAACTTTATTTTGTGAATTCACAGTCAGTACCTACATACAGGGCATAAGGAAACTCGTACAGGTCACGGGATCAGTGTGATGCCACAATGCAGCCAACGGATTAACCAGCATCCAAGTGGTCGGGCCGACCCCAGAATTCCAGCATCCCATCAACATGCTCTGAGCTACTCAGGGAAGATCATATGCTCTAGGACTCGCTAGAAAGTCTCAGGGCAAACTCTTTAAGAGCGGCTGGGAATCCCGGAAACGGCTGAACCTCAGAAGCGTGGAAAAGTCTCTCACTTAGGATGCTAAGGCAGCGCGCTCACCCGCGTTCTCATTCTGACCCTTCTCCCCGGCCACATTCGTAATGGCTACGCGACTTTGGCCAGTGGAAATAGAAACACAGAAGGCCTCTGTCACGTGAGAATGGAGACCCTTTAAGAAAAGCGTGTAATTCCTCATTTTCTCTGTTTTCCCCTTTTCTGGTGCACAGCTCACCTTGAAGTTCTATGAATCTGGGTCTTGACAAGCGGGAGTGTATCAGCACTTTGGGCTTACCCATAAGGGACATGCAGTGTGAGCAAAAAACGAACGTCTGCCCTATTTTAAGCCGCCAAGATCATAGGGCTGCTTATTAATAATCACATGGAATAGGTATGTCCTGGGAAGTGATGCATTAGAAGGAACACTTTTTTGTTGTTGTTCTGTTTTGTTTTTTCTTTTTGGGTCATACCTAGCAATGCACAGGGGTTACTCCTGGCTCATGCACTCAGGAATTACTCCTGGCGGTGCTTGGGGGACCATATGGTAATCAAACCCGGGTTGGCTGCGTGCAAGGCAAATGCCCTCCACGCTGTTCTAAGGCTCCGGCCCCTGTTCATCAGACTTGACACAGCTCAGTTTTCCAATGCTGTTAACGATTCCACTGGTGACTAAAGAGCATCCCTAGAGGCACAGTGAGTTGGAAAGAATCCCGAAGGGATGCAGTGAGTTGGGGAGCATCCCTAAGGGGTGCAGTGAGTTGGGGGAGCATACCTAGGAGCGCAGTGAGTTTGGGGAGCAGTCCGACTTGCACCATCTTGTTCCTCAGCCCCGTGTCAAAGGAAAGGTTGAGGAGAAGTCGGAGGGTGATGTTCAGTAGATCTTCGTGCTCACACGGAATCATTTTAACCAGTTTCTCCACGATGTCCATTTCCACCTGTGGAAAAGCATGTGCAGTGAGGTTCTGGGATTCCCGGGCAGACAAAAGGGGGCTACAGATTTTTAATTAATTTATTGCCTTTTTTTTTTCTTTCTGGGCCACACCTGGTGATGCACAGGGGCTCCTCCTGGCTCTGCATTCAGGAATTACTCCTGGTGGTGCTCGGTGCTCTGTTCTCTGGGCACTGTGTCGGTGCTAGAGAGCTAAGCCCAGGCAGGGGCGACGCCCTACCGACTGCATGATCTACCCACTGCACTATCTTTCTGGCCTCTCAACCCACTCTGATCTGAACAACAGTGAACGTTATGGCTCCCGTGTGGATTACCATATCATTCTTATTCTCCATAAAAATGCTGAGTTTCTTCAGGAACGACACGACGAGGATGAGCAGCTCAAAGTTCTCCCGGTCGAGAGCCTTCACCAGCATGTGGACGATGTTCTTGTTCCTCATCTTCAATTCCGTCCGCGTGTCCTCGGCCAGGTTCAGAAGCAAATACAGAGCCACTGGGAAGGGGGACAGGGCAGAGTCAGCCAGATGACCACCGAGTCCACAGCCCACAAATCATTTGTACCTAACAGAGGGACAGAAGTCTTTCTGGGAAGCTACATTGGTTATTATTATTATTTTGCTTTTTGGGTCACACCCAGCGATGCACAGGGGTTCCTCCTGGCTCTGCACTCAAGAATCACTCCTGGCGGTGCTCGGGGGACCCTATGGGATGCGGGGATGGAACCCAGGTCGGCCGCGTGCAAGGCAAGTGCCCTCCCCGCTGTGCTATTGCTCCAGCCCCTCATCTGAAATGTCTTAACAGGAGATTAACTGTTAAATTGGGGAATATTTCAGAAAAGGGGGGGGTCTACCAGCAGAGTTAGGCACTGCTTTGGACGGCAACAGAGCACACGCTGGGGGAGGGGGCAGTACCCCACGTCATAGCCAAGGGAGAGTCCCTCTCGGAGAGCCCGGCAAGCTACCGAGAGTATCCCGCCCGCAAGGCAGAGCCTGGCAAGCTCCCCGTGATGTATTCGAGATGCCAAACACAGTAACAACAAGTCTCACAATATTACTGGGCCCACTCGAGCAAATCGATGAACAATGGGAGGACAGTGCCACAGTGCTACTTAGAGTATTAAAAAACCTCAAGTAAATAAATTATAAATTTATACATACTTAAGAGCTGCAAGGGGCCTTTTGGTGGTGAAATTTAAAACACTATTATCTATGCTAAGGAAGAGTAATGTTTGTTTGGTTTTGATTTGGGGCCATGGCTGGCAGTCCTCAGGGGTTACTCCTGGCTCTGTGCTCAGGGAATCCCTCCTGACAGTGCTCGGGGGACCTTATGGAATGTGGAAGATCAAACCTGGATCAACTACATGAAAGGCAAGCACCTTTACCAACTGTACAATTTCTCCAGCCGCTTAAAAATATTACAAGTTTAAAGCTGTCATTGCATGACTGCAGCTCAAACGTGAAAGCTTTGTAACCTCGTGATGACTCAACAACAACAAGAAGGGGCTGGAGCAATAGCACAGCGGGGAGGGCGTTTGCCTTACACTCAGCTGACTAGGGTTCGATCCCCCGCATCCCGTAAGGTCCCTTGAGCACCACCAGGAGTAATTCCTGAGTACAGAGCCTGGAGTAACCCCTGAGCATCGCCAAGTGTGGCTCACAAAGCAAAAAAAAAAAAAAAAAAAAAAAAAAAAAGGAGATGATTACTATAAAAAACAAAGTTTAAAAAGTTGTGGCATGGGGCTGGAGCGATAGCACAGCGGGTAGGGCGTTTGCCTTGCACGCAGCCAACATGGCCAACACAGGTTCGATTCCCAGCACCCCAGATGGTCCCCTGAGCACCGCCAGGAGCAATTCTGGAGTGCATGGGATAGGAGTAACCCCTGAGCATCGCCGGGTGTAACCCAAAAAGCAAAAAATAAAATAAAATAAAATAAAAAATAAAAAGTTGTGGTCTACCAAAATTTACAGAATTTTCTGTTATTCCATTAGCTTTACTGATATTACCCTAAAGTCAATGTGGAGGAAGACTCTGCCATTTTTCTCATTTCATTTTCATTTCATCATCCTGTTATTCGTCGATTGCCTCGAGCAGGCCCCAGTAACGTCTCTTTCATCCTAGCCCTGAGATTATATTCACGGCTCTTTAGGAGAATGAGACCCATCATTGTTACTGGTATTTGGCATATTGGGTACGCCACGGGGAGTTTGCCAGACTCTGCCCTGTGGGCAGGCTACATTCGATAGCCTGCAAGTTTGTCCAAAGTAGTAATGAGACAATAAGATGTCATAAAAAAAAGTTCTGATAAGATGTCGCGCGACCGCAAATGCGGCCGCGCGGTTCCGGAATCTGATTCCGGAACCACCGTTTTTCTCATTGCTCAGAAATTCTTACCTCGTAAGAGTTGTTCCTGTTTTACCACCAGCCCCTGGTACTTTTTGAAAGTTTTTTCATAATCCTTTCTTAAGGTTTGGCTGTCAGGATCATCGTCAAGTAAACAATCTAAGTTAAGGACCATTCACGTTCTTCAAAGCAGACCTATGGAAAAATGCTCCCTGGAGAATTTTTGGAAATGGTCTAAGAAAATAGGCTAAAAAATAGGAATATTAGTGAGTAGAGATACTGATAGTTACCCAGAATCACTATCACCAACTAATTCATCTTTATCTTACCAACTAATTCAAGTCATAAAAATATTACACATGCCAGAGCTGGAGAAATAGCACAGCAGGTAGGGTGTTTGCCTTGCACTTGGCCGACCCAGGTTCGATTCCCAGCATCCCACATGGTCCCCTAAGCACTGCCAGGAGTAATTCCTGAGTGCAGAGCCAGGAGGAACCCCTGTGCATCGCCGGTGTGACCCAAAAAGAAAAAAAAATGTTACATATGTCTCAAACTATATTATTTCTGAGTTTTATCTTAAAAGATAAGGCTTAGCCTTCAATATATTTGCATTTCCCTCCAAAAAATACAAATGGAAAAAAAAAGAGAAAAACCAGCATTCTATCCATCCCAAACTTATTAACAGGCAGCGGAAGTGGGGAAGAAAATGCCTGTTTAAAAGGATATCAGCTTTCTTCTTCTTTGAAAGTTCTTCTTGCCAAAGTTCGTGTCTTTTTAATTCATGATCAATGATATTCATGCACAGAGCTCCGATTTTGTAGTGAGTGATAAGCCCATGAAACTGAGAAAAGCTGGAAAAAAAAATGTTAGTACACATTTAGCACCTGTGGGGGGCAGGTGAGTTGTACCGGGCAACCCAGGCAAAAACAGAGAGAGTCACTTCACCATACCGACATTTATTTTTAGGCTAGAAATTGAATGCTTTTTTTTTTTTTGCTTTTTGGGTCATACCCGGTGAAGCACAGGGGTTCCTCCTGGCTCAGCACTCAGGAATTACTCCTGGCGGTGCTCGGGGGACCCTATGGGATGCGGAGGATTGAACCCGGGTTTGCTATGTACAAGGCAAATGCCCTTCCAGCTGTGCCATCACTCCAGACCCTTGAAGGCATTTTTGCAGCGAACCGAAATACTATTCAGATCATCGAAAATACACATTCACACTGTCTAGCAAAACGGACAATATGATGCTATCATTGGACGAAGTAACAAAGAATAAACTAGAACAGTATTTGTAGTGAGGCTCTGCATGGCCTTTTGAGATAATTCACCTATTCAAGTACTTATTCAGCAAGTATTTTTGCACTGGTGTGCAAAATTTTAGAATAGAGGGAAGCTGGAAACCTTTGATAATCTGTCACAGAGAACAGTTACAGAATGTGTAGATAAATAATGCATAATCATACGTAAGATAGATATGATTACATATACTGATTTATGTGCATATTAATATAACGCTGAATTATACTAATAATATCCTGGGATAAACTCTGGGTCAGGTTTAGTCTTTTTTTTTTTTTTTTTTGCTTTTTGGGTCACACCCAGTCATGCTCAGAGCTGACTCCTAGCTCTGCACTCAGGAATCACTCCTGGTGGTGCTCGGGGCACCATATGGGATGTCGGGGATCGAACCCGGGTTGGCCGTGTGCAAGGCAAATGCCTTCCCTGCTGTGCTATTGCTCCAGCCCCAGGATTTAGTCTTTTCAAAGCTATCTGAAGAGGCGCTTCCTAACCGAGACAAGGAAATCGAGACTCAGAGAACATTGCTACATGTAGGTCACAACAGGCATACAACAGGACTTGGGCTGGAATCCAAGAAACCCTGCTCACACTTTACACTCCGAAGCCTGTGCAAGCTGTGAGACTGCACACTGACTAAAATTTGGAGCCACAGTGAAGACAGACAGGGGCTGGAGCGACAGCACAGCGGGAAGGACACTGGCCTTGCATGCGGCCGACCCGGTTCGATCCCCGGCATCCCACAGGGTCCCCCGAGCACCGCCAGGAGTGATTCCTGAGTGCAGAGCCAGGAGTCAGCCCTGAGCATCGCCGGGTGTGAGCCAAAAAGAAAACAAAACAAAACAAAAAAAGAAAAGAGAGAAAAGACAGACAGTGGGGGTGAGGTGGAGGAGTATGGGTAGACAAAAGGGCACTGGGTGAAGCCCAGAGAGGATCACGCAGACTGGTCCTTGTCTGCTCCAAGTCTTTGACTTACCTGGAGAAGCAGAAGAAGATATAAATGATGTTGGTGGCCAGCTCGACACTCTGCTTCCAGTCCTCCCTCAGGACTCTTGCCAACGCGCCCAGGGCAGTTTCTAAAGCAAAAGGGAACATGCGAAAGGATCAGTCCCGCAGGAAGGACAACCCGTTTCAAATGTCTCCTTATTCATAAGTAATGAAGCGCCAACAGATCTGGGACAGAAAAATGGGATGCTTCTTTCCAACACAGAATGCTGTTTTTGAAACGAGAACACAAAAACAACTCTTACTTTAAAACTCCCAATTGGAGCTTTAGGACTATAAAACTATGACAGATAAAAAATCACAAAAAAGTCTATTACGGGCGAGGATCTGAGGCAATTTATATCTTGATTTGCATTTCCAGTTATAATCTAGTTAAATGTGGTTTAATAGTTGTGAATGGGGGAAAGAAACCAAACATAAAAAATAATGAGCCATTTAGAAGCTGTCTAGCATCAGGATAGCACATTAATAACCAAACTTACTAGCAGAAAGTTGGTCTAATATTTTAACAGCATATTAAACTAATGCCAATTAACTTTTTAAAAATCTTTTATGAAATTAGCCCCAGGGCAGGTTAATAAATATTCCTGCTAAACTTTTTGTCTTGAGAAAGGTGCAAAAATTGACGAGTTAACCAAAATTACCATAAACATAACGTCATGCCACCAGTTTCAAATTAGTGTTGATATATGGCTATCCAATTCTTAAAATAATAAAAAAAAATGAAGGAAAATGTGTGATATGGAGATCATAATTAAACTTTCCATAATAGACACCAGGGATCTCTGGTCCTTCATCGATTGCATTCTCAGTAATTATTAGGGTCACAAAAATATTTAGCTTATTTGCGCTTTATGGCCATTTAGATTAAGAAATAAAAATTCACTCTATTATTAATCTAGGGGGGAATATGTTTAAAACTTAGAAGACATTCAACAATAGCACTTCCCAGCACTATTCATAATCACTTATGCAGAGCAATAGTATAATGTATGTTTAAAACCAAGTTATTCTGGAGTCAATTAACTATGGAGAAAAACTATATTCATATGCAAAGCCAAAATAAAAATCGACTTAAAGAACCTGGTTTAGTTATTTTTAAAATGTTTTAAATCTTCCAGCCCCACTTAGCTGTTTAATTCAACATTTCTCAAAGGCCTCTGACTACTGTAAAGGTAAAGGCCCTCCCGTTGATCGTCGATTTGCTCGAGCGGGCCCAGTAACGTCTCCATTGGAGACTTTGTTGTTACTGTGTTTGGCATATCGAATACTCTCGGTAGCTTGCCGGGCTCTCCGACTACTGTAATCCAGAAGAATTTAGATTATATCTTGAAAAATTATGTTCTATGATATCGTAAGTTTAGGGAGTGGCTTCTGACCTACTTTCTAATTTCATTTCAGTTTTTTTCCTACTTTGGACAAACTGGCAGGCTACCGAATGTAGCCTGCCCACACGGCAGAGTCTGGCAAACTCCCTGTGTCGTACCCAATATGCCAAATACCAGTAACAATGATGGGTCTCATTCTCCTAAAGAGCCTTGAATATAATCTCAGGGCTAGGATGAAGGAGACGTTACTGGGGCCTGCTCGAGGCAATCGACGATTAACAGGATGATTTGTGATTGTGATGGGAGTATTGCTATATAGTTATATTTCAGTGGAGGGCATTTTAATACATAATTTACTTAAATGCCTAGAAGGAAGAACTAGGCTATCCTATTATGACATCTTTTTATCTCATTCCTACTTTGTACAAACTGGCAGGCTACCGAATGTAGCCTGCCCACACGGCAGAGTCTGGCAAACTCCCCGTGGCGTCCCCAATATGCCAAATACCAGTAACAATGATGGGTCTCATTCTCCTAAAGAACCTTGAATATAATCTCAGGGCTAGGATGAAGGAGACGTTACTGGGGCCTGCTCGAGGCAATCGATGATTAACAGGATGATTTGTGATTTTGTGATTTTTTCTCTTAGTGTAGAGAAATGTCCTTAGTATAGAGAAACAGTTATAGAACATAGGCTACCAAATGACAAAGTGAAATTTAAAAGCTGAGAGCACTTAAAATATGAATATACATTAACTTGTAAGTTGAATGCAATTACAATTAAAATTCCAAGGTGACATTTTTAAGGAATGTGATAATGTGGACCACGGAGCTAGCTGGGAGTCAGCGACCAGGACCAGAGCTCATGTGGCAAGCACAGGCTTGACCCACTGTTCTGCACGGTCCCCCAACAGTACCAGGAATGACCCCTGAGCACTGAGCCAGGAGTAGCCCCTGAGCACCACTAGTGTGGTCACCCCCGTCACCCCAATGAATGTGATAATGTGATTTCAAAATACCACAACAAGGAAACGACTAAAATGAGCAGTGCCAACCTCGAAAATAACACCACCCACGTGGGGTATTTCCTCTACACCGACGCTCAAGGCAAAACGCAACCAAACACAGTAGCAGCATGATCTGGGCTGACAAAACGCCCAAATGGATCTCTGTCAGAACAGCATCAGGCTCAGGGTAGCTTTCAAGAAGCCGGGACTCGCTGGACGAGATCTGAGGGTTCAAAGTAGGTAAAGGGATCTTCCTGATAACCTTCCAGTATCAATATTGCCCTCCCGTTGATCATCAATTTGCTTGAGCGGGCCCAGTAACGTCTCCATTGGAGACTTTGTTGTTACTGTGTCTGGCATATCGAATACTCTCGGTAGCTTGCCGGGCTCTCCGAGAGGGGCGGAGGAATCGAACTTGGATCGGCCATGTTGGCTGCGTGCAAGGCAGACGCCCTACCCGCTGTGCTGTATTGGGCTGGAGTGATAGCACAGCGGGTAGGGCGTTCGCCTTACAAGCGGCCAACATGGCCGACCCGAGTTCGATTCCTCCGCCCCTCTCGGAGAGCCCGGCAAGCTCCCGAGAGTATTCGATATGCCAGACACAGTAACAACAAAGTCTCCAATGGAGACGTTACTGGGCCCGCTCGAGCAAATCGACGATCAACGGGAGGGCCTTTACCTTTACCTTTATCAATATTGCAAACCACAATGCCCAAAAGGAGAGAGAGAGAGAGAGAGAGAGAGAGAGAGAGAGAGAGAGAGAGAGAGAGAGAGAGAAAAGCGCCTGCCATAGAGGCAGGGGGTGGGGGGTGGGGGTGGTGGGAGGGAACCTGGGGACCCTGATGCTAGGAAATGTGTCCTGGTGGAGGGACGGGTGTTGGGTGTGACTGAAACCCAACCATGGACAGCTTCGTAAGAGTTTATTTCACAGCAATTCAAAAAAAAAAAAAGTTTAAAAAGTTAATTAAGAAAATTAAAACTTTTTCGTTTTAAAGACGAAGCCATGACCGAGTACGAGACAGGTTGGCGATTCCTGGGAAGGGCTTTCAAAGCAGCAGCATTTACCAACGAGTTAGAATAACTGGTTAGCCCACACGGAGAAAAATAAAACTCACAGGGTTCCATCCCACATTCAGCAAAACTTGAATCCAAGGGCCAACGACTCCTGAAGCCGTGGAAAGGAACCTCACCTCACTATTCCAGAAGCTAATGACAACCGGCAAACAAGGACAACATCAGAGTGTTTATTTCTTATTTTTTAATTTCTTTGCTTTTTGGGTCACACCCAGTGATGATCAGGGTTCCCTCCCGGCTCTGCACTCAGGAATTACTCCTGGCGGTGCTCGGGGGACCCTATGGGATGCTGGGGATCGAACCCGGGTCGGCCGCGTGCCAGGCCAACGCCCTCCCCGCTGTGCTGTCGCTCCGGCCCCAACCTCCATACTTTTAATATTTATACACGAGCCTCACCATTCAATAGAAGTTCCTCCAAGTTATCAGGGTTTCGGGCCAGCTGGAGAATCAGAGCCGAGCCCCGAACCTTGTCCGGAATATCTTCGTAGAGTAACTCGATGTATTCATCCATGTCATTAATGTTCGCCACCTCGTCAATCTGCAAACAAAGGGAAAACTCAGGGTGCGGAGGGGGTACTTGGTCCTCAGTATACTAGTCCTCTGGCCAATGTCCTGTATTCTGTAGAGGTGAAAATCAGAATTTGTGCAAACCACAGCTAAAATAAAGGTAAAGGCCCTCCCATTGATCGTCAATTTGCTCGAGCGGGCCCAGTAACGTCTCCATTGGAGACTTTGTTGTTACTGTGTCTGGCATATCGAATACGTCACGGGGAGCTTGCCAGGCTCTGCCGTGCGGGCGAGATACTCTTGGTAGCTTGCCGGGCTCTCCGAGAGGGGCGGAGGAATCGAACTCGGGTCGGCCATGTTGGCTGCTTGTAAGGCGAACGCCCTACCCGCTGTGCTATCGCTCCAGCCCAGCTAAAATCTCTTATAATCAAGTGGGTAAATATGTGGAATGAAGAAATAATGATCTGAAAAACCCTTGGTTTTGTCTTCAATTAAGCTTTCTCCATTTTATTTATTGATTTTGCTTTTTGGGTCCCACCCGGCGATGCTCAGGGCTGACTCCTGGCTCTGCACTCAGGGATCACTCCTGGTGGTGCTTGGGGGACCCTATGGGATGCTGGGGATTGAACCCGGGTTGGCCGCATGCAAGGCAAACGCCCTCCCCGCTGTACTATTGCTCTGCCCCAAGCTTTCTCCATTTTCAATGAATATAATGATTCTACTCTTCTCAGATATTCTAAAAATTCAGTTTTCCAAAATTCCCATCTGCTCGGGGTTGTCTAAATCACAACCCCGGACAGAAGCTGTCTGCTTACCTCCATTCCTTCAAAAGGCGGTGGGTCTTTGGGCTTACTGGATTTTTCTTTCTTCTCTGTAAAAAAGAGGAGTTTTTCTTTTTTAAACGAGGAAACACTATTTTCAGAGTTCTAGATCATTTTTAGGTGCCAGAAGCTGAGGTTAATTCTAAACAGGGGCTTTTAGAAATGGATAGTTTATAAAATAATACTTTTTCCAGTGCATTAGTAAAAAGGCTCATTCATAAATCCCTCTGTTCTAAAGAGATTATCAAAAAAAAGTGTATACAAATAAAATCTATGAAGAATCCCTAAGATATGTTAGGCAGGAATTCCGGCTTCCTCGCTGGTTGACTTTTGGGGGAACGTAGCTACTCAGACTTGTTAACAAGAAGCAAAATAGTCTATTTTATAAAGTTTCTTTTCCCTCTCTTTCCTAATCCACATTTAAGACGGGAAGAGAAAAAAACAGTAAGGCAAAGAAAAACTACTGAGCAATATAACTGGAAGAAAAATTAACAAAGGAAATGACTCAGGTAAAACTAAAATAAAATTCGGATCACAAGTTAAAAGGCAAGTTTACCATTTAAATTGCTAATTTAATCTTTTTTTTCTTTTTTTTTGCTTTTTGGGTCACACCCGCTGATGCTCAGGGGTTCCTCCTGGCTCTGCACTCAGGAAATATTCCTGGCGGTGTTCAGGTGACCCTATGGGATGCTGGGAATCGAATCCGGGTCATTCGTGTGTAAGGCAAATGCCCTCTCCACTGTGCTATCGCTCCAGCCCCTACTAATTTAATCTTCACTGTATCCGAAGGTACTGGGCCAGACTGTGAGGTATTTGATATACTGAATTACTTGATTAATGACATTTTTTCTTCCTAACCAAAAAAAATAAATGATTAAAAATGCTTTAAAGATCTGACCCGAAAACCTAACCAACACACACACATTAGAATAATCCCATGGAGTATAACATGTTTTTGATGTTCTAACTAGCAAAAACGTCCTACAAATTAGCCCTAATTGTTTTCAGAGGCGATTCAACATACGGTTACGCTTTCTCCACAGCTAGATTTTAACTCAGATTATTAACTACAACGGTGGTTTTTATTAAGCAAAGGGGGGGAAAAAAAAGAGTTTAGATTAAAGAATGCATAAGCAATTAAAGAATACTGTGTCTCCATCACCTACTGTGCAAAGTGAATATCCAGTTGAAAAAAAAAATTTTGGTGTATGTGGAGGTCTCCCCAACAGTGCTGGAGATTTGGAGGTGGGGTCCTGACGGGGTGGGAGGTGGGATGGGGGCGGAGTCAGAGGGCAGTCTTGGAGGTCTATGGGGGTCAAATTCTGAACACTGCCATGCAGGGTACAAACCCCCACCTCCCCCCTCATCCCTACGTCCCACCCCCTTCTCTCAGGTCCTCCCAGTGAAACTGCCAAGAAAGAAAAATAAATTCAGGGCTGGAGCGATAGCACAGCGGGGAGGGCGTTTGCCTTGCACTCAGCCAACCTGGGTTCGATTCCCAGCATCCCATAGGGTCCCCTGAGCACTGGCAGGGGTGATTCCTGAGTGCAGAGCCAGAAGTAACCCCTGTGCCTCGCTGGATGTGACCCAAAAAGCAAAATAAATAAATAAATAAATAAATTTATTAGAAAAAAATTAAAAAGGTAAGTGTGGGGTGGAGAGATCACTCGTGGGCTAAGCAAATGCTTTGGATTTATCTCTGCATGCACTGAGACAGGAAAGGTCTTCAGCATCCTCTGGTTTCTCGGGGGGAAGGGAAAAAAGACAGATTTTACCCTGACAATGAAGGGAGAAGGTTTCATTTGTTTCCACATGATTTACTGACAATGCCTTTGCAGTTATATTCATTCAGCATTAGCGGACATCTGTTTTATTTTTTTTTAACTCCTTATTTCAGCCACCACCATGCTGAGACCACTCTCCGCACACATGAAGGTACCGGCAGAGGAACAAAGGCACGCGGGTCCCGGGGCTGAGATCTCCAAGCCTACTCAGATCGGGGCTGAGCATCCTCCACCCAGATCCTCCGAATTCCAGAAGGCGGGGGTCACACCCACCAACTGGCCCCCTGGTGCCGTGTAATCCCATCAACGGCCAAGACTCAGAGACTATAAAACGCAGCTCCCAGACATCTTATTATCTCATTCTTGCTTTGGACAACCTGGCAGGCTACCGAATGTAACCTGCCCACACGGCAGAGTCTGGCAAACTCCCCGTGGCGTCCCCAATATGCCAAATACCAGTAACAAGGATGGGTCTCATTCTCCTAACTCTGAAAGAGCCTTGAATATGGCACTTTTTTAAAAAGTCTCAGGGCTAGGACAAAGGAGACGTTACTGGGGCCTGCTCGAGGCAATCGACGAATAACTCCTTATTTCAACATATATTTTATACACAGGGAAAAACAGAAACTAGCAATTCTGTGTAGCCGGATCCCAGGGTAAAAAATGTAGAGAATCAATGTGTATTCCCCGCCCTCCCCCCGCAATGCATTTCCCAACACTGTTAGAGTCTCGGAAGCAAAGACCTGCAGGGACAATTCCGGGGACTGGGATTCTCTGACCTTTCCCTGACAGCGAATCGCGGCGGTTCTGCAGGTAGTACAGTAGCTGCTCCACCTCGTTCAGCTTGGAGGGGTGGATGAGTTTACATTCCTCGACCACTTTCCGGGCCAGGGAGGTGATGTCTGTGTTGGCATTGAGGCTTTTCAGACGAATGCTGCAGGAAGAGCAGAACCCCCCACATTAGACTCCATCGAGTGACAATCTGTCCTTGATATCAACATCTGCATGGGCCACCGTGAAATATTTTACATGAATAGATAGCACAGCGGGTAGGGCGTTTGCCTTGCACGCGGCCGACCCGGGTTCGATTCCTCTAGCCCCTCTCGGAGAGCCCGGCAAGAGAGTATCCCGCCCGCACAGTAGAGCCTGGCAAGCTCCACGTGGCGTATTCGATATGCCAAACACAGTAACAACAAGTCTCACAATGGAGACGTTACTGGTGCCCGCTCGAGCAAATCGATGAACAACGGGAGGGCAGTGCGACAGTGCTACAGATAAGGCTTGAAGTTCTGGAAAATATCAGTTGAATGTTTTCTGGATTACTTCTACAATCAGAAAGCAAAAACCTTTACTAGGTTAGGCTACTAATTAAGAACTACTGAGATTGGGGCTACAGCGATAGCACAGTGGGTAGGGCATTTGCTTTATACGATCGACCCAGGTTCGATTCCCAGCATCCCATAGGGTCCCCTGAGCATCGCCAGGTATGACCCCTCCCTCCCCCCCCCCAAAAAAAGAACTACTGAGATACCAGAAACTCACAAATTAAGTTACTTATATTATTTGGGGAGCCAAAGCTGTCAATAAAGGGAAACCTCAGAAAATAAGGGATGTTCTGAAGATGGACCCATGCTTTCATTTTTCAGAGGAAATGAAAACCAGATCTTTTGGACTTGGACCAAGGCACCACTACAATTCAGTGACAGTTTTGCTTCATAACTATCTCAATTTATATGAAGGCCCCAGTTTGAAAGCTCCCCCCCCCACCCCCGATGCTGCCATTGATAAGAACTCTTGAACTGTCAATAAATCACATTTTCCTGGTGGTTTCACTAAAATTCCTCTCCAAATCTTGCGTGGCCAGAGTGGATATATCACAGGATGAGTTACTTGGGCATTTTTCCTTCCTCACTTTTTTTTTTGGCTTTTTGGGTCACACCCGGTGATGCTCAGGGGTTATTCCTGGCTCTGCACTCAGGAATCACTCCTAGTGGTGCTCAGGAGACCATATGGGGTGCTGGGAATCGAACCCAGGTCAGCCGCATGCAAGGCAAACGCCCTACCCGCTGTGCTATGCTTCCAGCCCCCCCTTTTTTAATATAAGTTATTTTATTTTATTTATAGTCTCTGAGTCTTGGCCGCTGATGGGATTACACGGCGCCAGGGGGCCAGGTGGTGGGTGTGACCCCCGCCTACTGGAATTTGGAGGATCTGGGTGGAGGATGCTCGACTCCAATCCGAGTAGGCTTGGAGGTCTCGGCCCCGGAACCCACGTGGCTTTGTCCCTCTGCCGGTACCTTCAGGTGTGCGGAGAGTGGTCTCAGCATGGTGATGGCTGGTCCTGGAGGTCTTCGGCTGCTGGGGCCCTGGTCAGGGCAGGGAGGAAAGCTCAACCTGCTCCCCTCCAAGGGGCCCCGGCAAGGAATAGCCAGGCGCGGGGGCAGCAGACTGCACTGTTCTCCTCTGGGAGCTGGTTTTTATAGTCTCTGAGTCTTGGCCGCTGATGGGATTACACGGCGCCAGGGGGCCAGTTGGTGGGTGTGACCCCCGCCTACTGGAATTTGGAGGATCTGGGTGGAGGATGCTCGACTCCAATCTGAGTAGGCTTGGAGATCTTGCATTCGCGGCCGCGCGACATCTTATTATGACATCTCATTCCTACTTTGGACAAACTGGTAGGCTACCGAATGTAGCCTGCCCACACGGCAGAGTCTGGCAAACTCCCAGTGGCGTCCCCAATATGCCAAATACCAGTAACAATGATGGGTCTCATTCTCCTAAAGAGCCTTGAATATAATCTCAGGGCTAGGATGAAGGAGACGTTACTGGGGCCTCCTTGAGGCAATCGACGAATAACAGGATGATTTGTGATTGATTTGTGTGATTTTATTTTATTATTATTTTATTTTTGGTTTTTGCTTTTTGGGGCACACCCGGTGATGCACAGGGGTTACTCCTGGTCCATGTACTCGGGAATTACTCCTGGCGGTGTTCAGGGGACCCTATGGGATGCTGGGAATCGAACTCAGGTCGGCTGCATTCAAGGCAAATGCCCTACCTGCTGTGCTATCGCTCCAGCCCCCCCTCCTCACATTTAAACTCCCTTACTCGAATCCCACTGAGGTAGCGACTCTTCCCAGGCAATGAACCCGCCGGTCCAGAAAGTGTGTAAATTTTCTGAGCAACAAACAGCAGGGTACTTGTTTCATTCTCATCGCATGAGGCTCCTGTCTGCATTCTGAAATGTACGCTGCGTGAGGTTCTAGAAGGTTCTGACTGGCTCTGCTAACGGGCAGATCTTTCACACGTGCTTGACACGTCTGAAGCGCAGGCAGCGATCACAAAACAGACCGAAAGAACCAAGAGTGAGAGCAAACAAAATTGCAGTGTGTGTGTGTGTGTGTGTGTGTGTGTGTGTGTGTGTGTGATGTGAGTTAGAACCCGGAGTGCAAATGTGTCTGTATACAGCGGTTGTCTGTCATCCCGGGGTGGGGGTGGGGGGTGGGGTTCCTGGGGACTGAGTCACTGTAATTTATGTAGTTATTTATTTATTTTGGCTTTTTGGGTCACACCCGGTGATGATCAGGGGTTCCTCCTGGTGTTTCACTCCGGAATTACTCCTGGCAGGGTTTGGGGGACCCTATGGGGTTCCGGGGATCGAACCCGAGTTGGCTGCGTGCAAGGCAAATGCCCTCCCTGCTGTACTATCGCTCCAACCCTGACCCTCTGCAATTCAGATTCCCTCTGGGGCCTGAAGTGTAGAATGGGGGGGGGGGGGGGGGAGGGCACTTGCCTTGCACGCGCCGGACCTGGGTTCGATCCCTGGCATCGCCAGGTGGTCCCTGAGAGCCAAGAGCCAGCCTTGAGCACAACCAGATATACCCAATTCCCCCCCCCCCCCAAAAATATATATATATATACACACACATATATTCCCTCTGCAGCAGGGCTGAAAGTAGGACCACAATCCTTGTCAGGGTGATCTGGTTCCTCAAGCCACTAGGTGCCACCAACTCCCTTTCGGTTACTACACATATTGTGGCATATCCCCCGGGGAATGGGGGGTCACAGCTGTGCTCTCACAATCCTGCCACCAACACACCGCAAACATTCAGAATATCCCAGAAGTCACGGCATCCACTGTTCTTTTCCATCCATTCCCAAACTACTTTTTTTCCCTTTGTCTTTCTTTTCAAAGCCTTGAATACGTTATATATAAGCGATTACTTGATATAACATATAACACACATCTTCTTTGACTTGGCATTATCCATAGTCAATGTTGGGGGAACTACAGAGCATCGATCATTTTGACCCTCTGATTTTAAAGGGTTATTAAACAATCATTGAATTAGATTCTGTTCTTTCTTTAGTGGAAAGGTTGTGAGACTAAAAGAAAGTGACCCTGGGAGATGGAGCAGGGAGGGAGAGAAAGAGGGGGAAGAAAGGGGTTGAGAGGAGAGAGAGAGAGAGAAAGAGATAGGCAGAGAGAAAGAGGGAGAGAAGGAGGGGAGAGAGAGGGAGAGAAAGGAAGAGGGAGGGAGAGAGAGAGGAGAGAGAGGAGAAAGGAGAGGGGGAGAGAGAGAGAGAGAGAGAGAGAGAGAGAGAGAGAGAGAGAGAGAGAGAGAGAGGGGAAGGGGAGAGAATGCAGGAGGAAAGGGCCACTTTGCCTGCCTGGGGTCCATCCCTGGGGCTGATGATGATCCTGCAACACTGCCAGGGCACTGAATCCCTGCCCCCAAAAGTGATGTCAGCCCCTCTCCACCTTCACTATGGAGAGAGAGGGCAAGATTGTCACTAGCACAAACACGGACTTGATGAAAAAGGCCAGTTCCCTATGGGATCCTGCAAGCAGAGCAGAGGAGGAGGGGAAGCGGGCAAGGAAATAGCTGGGGAATAATTCACTGCACCAAACCCGGGAGTCCACTGTTACGACCAACACCTTTGAGAGAGCGCATGATTTTGTTTGTTTTTTTGTTTGGGGGTCACGCCCAGTGATGCTCAGGGGTTCCTCCTGGCGGTGCTCGGGGGACCCTATGGGATGCTCAGACAGAACTGGGGTCAGACGTGTGCAAGGCAAATGCCCTCCCTGCTCTCATCACTCTGGCCCTGAGGGTGGAATTTTTAAGGAATAAGCCCCATTTGGGAATTCTACAACTCAAACCAGTTTCCAAAAATCTGGGGGAGAAAGGAAAGGACAAGGTTCCCTGTCAGAAAGATTTCTTTTAGCCAAGCTAAAAATACCCTCCCCCACATCTCTCATCACTGATTTCACAAGCTGCAGTTACTTTGTATTCTTCACATCCTTTCACAAGTTGCAGTTACTTTGTATTCTTCACATCCTTTCACAAGTTGCAGTTACTTTGTATTCTTCACATCCTTTCACAAGTTGCAGTTACTTTGTATTCTTCACATCCTTTCACAAGTTGCAGTTACTTTGTATTCTTCACATCCTTTCACAAGTTGCAGTTACTTTGTATTCTTCACATCCTTTCACAAGTTGCAGTTACTTTGTATTCTTCACATCCTTTCACAAGTTGCAGTTACTTTGTATTCTTCACATCCTTTCACAAGTTGCAGTTACTTTGTATTCTTCACATCCTTTCACAAGTTGCAGTTACTTTGTATTCTTCACATCCTTTCACTACATAGGGTGTTTGTAACATGCGCTCCCCCAAGCCCGCTTCCACGTTTCTGTTTTAACAGTCTCTGCTTCGCTCAGATGAAGTATGCCTAAGAAGAATTCCACAATCGTCTATCATCTACGTGGATATAAATACATCAGATTTCTGCAGAGCCTGTGCACGGGTCACCGGCTTGCGAAACGCACACCGGTGCAGAGGGACTTACATTTTCTGACATTCTTTTCGCTCGCCCAGCATGGGGTCCCCCGTCTCTCCGAGAATGGTCGCTTCCACTTCATACTGGACAATGAGTGCTTTCTCCGATGGGTGGACATCGATATTTCCTCCCTTCACCTTCCTACAGAACACAAGAAAAATAGGCAGGGCCAGAGTAAATCAGAGTGAATACAAAATCTCAGCAACTTCTTCCTTCCTTTCCATCTTTCCCTTTCTTCCCTCCCTCCCTTCTTTCTTTCCTTTCCCTCCTCTCCTTCCTTCCTTCCATCCTTCCTTCCCTCCCTCCTTTCCTTTCTTCCTTCCTTCTTTCTTTCCCTCCCTCCTTCCTACCTTCCTTCCTTCTTTCTTTCCTTCCCTCCCTCTTTCCTTCCTTCCTTTCTCTTTCCGTTCCTTCCCTCCCTTCCTCCTTCCTTCCTTACTTCCCTCCCTCTCTCCTTCCCTTTCTCCTTTCTTTCTCTCTTTCTTTCCCTCCCTCCCTTCTTTCTTTCTTTCTTTCTTTCTTTCTTTCTTTCTTTCTTTCTTTCCTAGTTCCAGGAACATGTGGGTTGGATTAAAACACGCATTTAAATCAGATTGATTCTCGACTTGGGCCAAAAAGGAAACTTTTTCTCCAACTCTGTAGTCACAAAATCACAAATCATCCTGTTAATTGTCGATTGCCTCGAGCAGGCCCCAGTAACGTCTCCTTCACCCTAGCCCTTAGATTATATTCAAGGCTCTTTAGGAGAATGAGACCCGTCATTGTTACTGGTATTTGGCATATTGGGTACGACACAGGGACTTTGCCAGACTCTGCCGTGTGGGCAGGTTACATTCGGTAGCCTAGTAGTATACTCTGTAGTATACGAATTCATTCTCAGTCTTGCTAGAAAAGTACCTTTTTGAACTCAACGATGAGGCCAGATTCGTGAGAGGTGTGCCAGTGCCACAGATAGATAATCTGCCCCCAATTTGCCTGATTTTTGGGGGGACACGTGCTGGGGATGTGCAGCAACAGGGGACTTGCATGTTACATTCTCAGCCCCCCCTTTAATATATTAAGAAGTGTTATTTTTATTATGAAAGCAAAGGCCAATTTTGCTTTGTTTTGTTTTGTTTTTGCTTTTTGGGTCACACCCGGCGATGCTCAAGGGTTCCTCCTGGCTCTGCACTCAGGAATCACACCTGGAGGTGCTCGGGGGACCCTACGGGATGCCGGGGATCGAACCAGGGTCGGCCGCGTGCAAGGCAAATGCCCTTATCCGCTGTGCTATCGCTCCAGCCCCTCAAAGGCCAATTTTTAAGCAAAATTTTAGAATTATTCAATTTAGATTAAATTTTTTAAAAAATTTATAAAGTTCATGATGATTTGTTACATTCCATATTCCAACACCAATCCCAGCACCATTGCACTAACCACCATTCTTCCCGATTTTCCCAATCACCACCCAAGCCTGCCCCAATAGCAGGCCCTAAGTGATTTACTTGTTATGAATAATTTGCCAAAAATAATCAAAGAAGGGTTCCTTAGGGAAAAAGTGTCTGAAGATTTCTGCATCTCACCCTGGAGCCATGAAACCCTGGTGGAAGAGATTACTAACATGCCGTTTATAGTTTAAGCCTTGCGCGTTAATAGTTTCTTAATCGAGATTGGCCGCCTTCTACTTTACACCACATCCAATGTGATGTGCTGGTGTTCCACTGGTCTAGGTTTGAGACATCACACTTTTGATGAATTCTAAAATTTTCAATGGAGTGATAGAGCTGGAGTTAAATTTTGAACTGGATGACGACTTTGGGGGTCTGGAAGCATCTCTGCAGCTTGTTGATCTCTTTTATTTATTTTTTGCTTTTGGGGTCACACCCGGCGATGCTCGGGGGTTACTCCTGGCTCTGCACTCAGGGATCACTCCTGGCGGTGCTTGGGGGAACCATATGGGATGCCGGGGATTGAACCCGGGTTGGCTGCGTGCAAGGCAAACACCCTACCTGCTGTGCTATCGCTCCAGCCCCTGATGATCTCTTGTGAGATTTCTTTATGAGTCTCTGGATCATGGCCAGTTCATGAGCTTATACGGCGTCAGAGGCAGTTCCTGGGCCTGACCGCCAATGCTCAGCCTTTTGTCCCTCTTTTCAGCCCTCCCTGGGAGAAGGGCATGAGATGAAATAAAAATAAAAGCTGCTTTCGGAAAGATTTCTGGGGGGACTGGAGCAATAGCACAGCAGGGAGGGCGTTTGCCTTGCACACAGCTGACCCAGGTTCAGTTCCCAGCATCCCATACCCCTGAGCACCGCCAGGGGTAATTCCTGAGTACAGAGCTAGGAGTCAACCCTGAGCATCGCTGGGTGCGAACCCCCCCCCAAAAAAAAGGGAAAAAAAAACCAGAAAGATTTCTGGGGTCGGAGAGAGAGTACAGATATGGCCTTCCTTTGCATCCTGCCTACTCCAGGTCAAATTCTGGCCATCTCAGACCGTCCCCCAAGAAAGGACAGGGGTCACTCCTGAGCCAGAGCCAGGCATAGCCCCCCCCCAACCAACCCACACACCAAACTGCAAATTCCTCATCTGATCAGACCCCAGTATTGAAAACATCCCAACAACAACGGAGAAAAAAAAAGCACCGGAAAAGAGAGACTAATGTTACTAGTAACCAGAGAATGTAAATAAGACCACAATCAAATTCCTCTTCACACACAACAGAAGGGCCAAAATTGGTACTCTGGTAGTGGTTATGGTGTGGCAACCTGTACTTTTGAAGAGGCATGAAATTGTAGCCTTAAAGCATACAGCTATGTAAACTTACATGACGGCAATAAAAGCCAAACAAACAGAACCCCTTGAAAATAAGTGTTGGTGAGTATGCAGGAAACTTGGAATACTTATCCATCACCGGTGCAGATTTAAACAATGCTAGGCACCAAAAATTGTGGTTCCACGATGAAGTGGAACAGAGAGTTATCCCATGACCCAGAAGCGACTGGGTGTAGATCAAGAACAAAAACTGGTGCTCACAATGGAATACTATGCAGCTGTTAAGAAAAATGAAGTTGGGGCTGGAGCAATAGCACAGCAGGGAGGGCGTTTGCCTTGCACGCGGCTGACCCAGATTTGATTCCCAGCATCCCGTATGGTCCCCTGAGCCCCGCCAGGGGTAATTCCTGAGTGCAGAATCAGGAGTAACTCCTGTGCATCGCCAGGTGTGACCCCAAAAGCCCCCCCCTCCAAAAAAAAAAAAAAGAAAAGAAAAGAAAGATGAAGTCATGAAATTTGCTTCTATGGGATGGACTTGGAGAGTATCAAATTAAGTGAAATGAGTCAGAAAGAGAGGGACAGACCTAGAAGGACTGCACTCATTTGTGGAATATAAAATAACATAATATGAGACTGATACCCAAGGACGTAGCGACAAGGGCCAGGAGGATTGCTCCATGGTTGGCAGCTGCCTCATGAGCTGGGGGAGAAGGCAGCTGGGATGGAGAAGGGGTCACTGAGTCAGTGATGGATGGAGGGGTCGCTCGGGATGGGAGATGTGTGCTGAAAATGAATAAAGGACCAAACGGGATGGCCTCTCAGTATCTGTATTGCAAACCATAATGCCCAAAGTAGAGAGAGAGTCTGGGGGAAATTGTCTGCCATGGAGGCAGGGGGAGGGGTGGGATGGGAGGGGATACTGGGGACATTGATGGTGGGGAATGTGCACTGGTGGACTGAAACTCAATCAGGAAAGCTTTGTAACTATCTCGCGGTGATTCAATAAAAAAAAAATAATATATTTTAAAAAAAGGTGCTCAATCATAAACAAGCAGGGAATATTCACAGTCTTTGTATCCACAATGATCACCGGATGGGAACAACTGAATAATCCAAATCTCATCACCAAGAGATGAACAGAGAAACAAACCATTCTACTGGAGGAGCATTTGGTTTTCAAAGGGGCCCGAGGCAGAGAGCAAGGGAGAGGGCACATGCCCGCCGAACCCCGTTCCATCCTGGTGCCAGAGGTTTTCTTGGGCGTCATGGATATAACCTCAGGTGCATATCCTGAGCGGTATGCCCTGCCCTCACCTGGAACCCCCCCTCCTCCGCCTATCAAAACCAGGAAATAACGCACCCATCCAAACGAGGGAATACAGCACCCATCCGAACCAGCTACCGAATGTAACCTGCCCACACGGCAGAGTCTGGCAAACTCCCTGCGGCGTACCCAATATGCCAAATACCAGTAACAATGAAGGGTCTCATTCTCCTAACTCTGAAAGAGCCTTGAATATGGCATTTTTAAAAAATCTCAGGGCTAGGACGAAGGAGACGTTACTGGGGCCTGCTCGAGGCAATCGACGAACAACAGGATGGTTGTGATCGTGATCCGAACCAGGGGATAAAGCGTCCATTCATAACAGGGAATAAAGCACCCATGCGAACCAGGGGATACTGCACTGGTGAATGCTAAAACATGGATGGGGGCTGGAGAGATAGCACAACCGGTAGGGCGTTTGCCTTGCACGCGGCCGACCCGGGTTCGATTCCCAGCATCCCATATGGTCCCCTGAGCACCGCCAGGAGTAACTCCTGAGTGCAGAGGCAGGAGGAACCCCTTGTGCATCGCCGGGTGTGACCCAAAATGCAAAAAAATTTAAAAAATAAAAATAAATAAAACATGGATGAGCCTAAGAGACCACACTGAAAGTCCCCTTCCCGCGGGGACAGAGCTAAGCAGAGGCCACGCAGGTGCTATTTATTGAATGTCATCGAGGCCAAACCTGATCTACCTATAGCAAAACAAACAAACCAAAAATAAAAAACAAAAGGAAAGGCCGCCTTCCCATGTTAGGGAGCCAGGAGACACAATGTAAACATTGACAAATGTCAACAAATGTTTGCTTAGGGACCCAGAGGCCTGAGTGACGGCGACAATGTAACCACGGCTGCAAATTAGAGCTGGAAACTGTTGCAAAAGGAAGACAGACACTGCAAGGGAGATCAAAGGGTCCAGGCCTGCTCCATCACCTGTCAGTGCAGAACCCGGGCGCGTGAGCCTTGCACCCCACCCTAGGACGACCCCCCTTTGCCCTCCCAGCCCCGGGGCCCCTCCCTACCGCCTCCCTCCTCCTGCTGGGGCCCCGAGGGGCCCCCCGAAGCCGGCCTCAGCCCCGGGAGAGGGTCTGGGGGTGCAACCCGGGGCTCGGGGCATCGTCACCTTTTCAGGTACCGGGCGTCCTCCCCTTGCATAGCGGCGGCGGCGGGGCGGGGGGCTGGGGGCGGTGCAGAGAGAGGCCCGAGGGGCTCTGTCGAGGGCGGGGGGCCGTGCCCACGCCCCGAGGCCGTGACAGTCCCGAGGCCTGCAGAGGCGGGGCGCGGCGCTGCGGTTACCACGGTGAGGCGGCGGCGGCTCCGCCCCCAGCTGCGGCCGCCCCGGGAGCCGCCGCGGCCGGCCCCGCCCCCACGGCGCCTGCGCGCGCGCGCCGCGGCCCCGCCCACTCGTCGGGAGGCGCCTGCGCGCGCGTCGCGGCTCCGCCCACCTGCCGGGAGGCGCCTGCACGCGCGCGCCGCGGCCACGCCCACCCGCCGGGTGTCCCCGCCCACCCGTCGGGCGGCGCAGACTCAGTGCGCGCGGGCGGGACCAATCTGGCGCGCGCCCGGAAGTCAGCGGGAAGGATTTGACGCCACTTCCGGGAGGGCGTGTGCTGTAGGGCCCCATCCGGGCTGCCCGCTGCAGGGGCACAGTTAGGACCCACGGGCAAGGTCCAAGTGGTCCTTTTCTTTAAGGGATGGCTCAGAGCCCCTGCTCCTCAGTGATGTAGGCAGGCAAGCCCCTCCCAACCCACCCCTGCGGCCAATGGCAATGAATTTCCCCTTACGGGTCCACTTTTTTTTTTGTTTTTTGCTTTTTTGGGGTCACACCTGGCAATCAATGCACGGGGTTACTCTTCGCTCTGCACTCAGGAATTACTCCTGGCAGTGCTCGGGGGGACCCTATGGGATGCTGGGGGTCAAACCCGGGTCGGCTGCGTGCCAGGCCAACGCCCTACCTGCTGTGCTATTGTATAACTCCATTCCCCTATGGGTCCACTTTTGTCATATTTCAAGTTTATAGAAAAACATAGCCCTGGATCTCATGTTGGTTCCACGGTTGTTATTGTTATTTTTTTATGAAATAGCGTGATATTCCCCTGGATCTATTCTCCACTCTTTTTTTTTTTTTTTTTTTTTTTGCCTTTTGGGTTACACCTGGTGATGCACAGGGGTTACTCCTGGCTCTGCACTCAGGAGTTACTCCTGGCGGTGCTCAGGGGCCCCTATGGGATGCTGGGAATCATCATCATTCCTGGGAGGGTTCAGATGATTTCATGTGGTACTTGGGATCCAAATGGGATAGTCTATGTACAAAGCAGGCACCTAGTACTCTGCTCTATCTTTCATGCTGATTCACGTTGATTTTTCTGTCCACCCCCTCCCCCCACAAAAAAAAAAACACCTACACACACAAAAACCACCCAACTAACATCTTAAGTTACCATCAGGCACCTTCATGGCTAAGGATGTCTTTTGTGTTTGTGTAAATGCTGGCTGCCAGATTGTGGCATTGTAACACAATAGTTTTCTCTTTCAAGTAAAGTCCTTCCTGGGGTGAAAGGCCCACATGGGGCTATTGCCTAGGTAAAAGTCCATTTCTTTGCCACATTTAAATTTTTTTTAAATAATAAAATAGGTAGTGTTGAAGTCCTGAGTTTATTGGCGCATGCAAACTATGGGCATGAATGAAATTTTCTCCATCAGCAGCAGACAGTTTTTTTCTTTCTTTTTAAAAAAGACTCTTACAAAGCTGTTCATGATTGAGTTTCCGTCACACAGTGTTATAACACCCATCCCTCCACCAGGGCACATTTCCCAGCACCAAGGTCCCCAGGTTCCCTCCCATCACCCTCCTAGCCTGTCTGTATACCAGGCACTTTCTCTCTCTCTCTCTCTCTCTCTCTCTCTCTCTCTCTCTCTCTCTCTCTCTCTCGCTCTCTCGCGCTCTCTCTCAAATCATTGAGAAAGACAAGTAAGGAGAGGCTACTAAAATCTCAGGGCTGGGACAAATGGAGGTGTTACTGGTCCCCGCTGAAGTAACTCGATGAACAACAGGATGACAGTGACAGTGACAGTGATTATAATAATGATGATGATGATGATTTACTTTTTGGGTCACACCCGGCGATGTACAGAGGTTCCTCTTGGCTCTGCACTCAGGAATCACTCCTAGCAGTGCTTGGGGGACCCTATGGGATGCCGGGGATCAAACCCCGGTCAGCTGCATGCAAGGCAAACGCCCTCCCCGCTGTGCCCAATCCCGAGGTGGTTTTTTAAGTGCTACCCAGAGATGCGATGCTCTTCTTACCTTGTGACTGCATTCGGGACATCGTCAAAAGGCCAGAAGGGTCTGAAGAATCCATAGCCACCTGTTAATAACGCCATCGTCTCGTGCTCAAATCACTGTGAGTTCACGCTGCACATCTTAGAGCAAAGGACACTTCTGTTAGAAAGACTCTCTCCTGCATCCTGCTCTTGGGGGAGGGGGGGACTTCTCTTTTCAGCCAGTGTGACACAGGACAACTATGACATCACAGGACACTTAAGGGAGTGGGCGGCCTGGTTGGAGGATGACACAGAGAAGGTCTATGCCAGACCTTCTTTTCTCCTCTGCCAGAGTCTCCACGCATCTCACCGTCCCTTGAGATGGGATAGTTGTGTCAAAGGTCAACTTGTTGATCCTTCAAGACATGGAGTTAGATCGATGTGTCATTTAACCAAATCTAAAATAATAATAATTATTATAGAATATAATAATAATTATTATAGAATATAATAATAATTATAGAATATAATAATAATTATTATAGAATATAATAATAATTATTATAGAATATAATAGTAGTAATAATTGACTTTTGGGGTCATACCCAGAGATGCTCAGGGCTGACTCCTGGCTCTGCAACTCAGAAATTACTCCTGGCGGTGCTCAGGGGATCCTATGGGATGCTGGGGATCGAACCCAAGTCAGCCGCATGCAAGACAAATGCCTTCCCTGCTGTGTTATTGCTCCAGCCCCTAAAGTAATTATTAAGCTATGGTATGAACTTTCACACACAACCCTGTGTGCACATACAGAGCACCCATGTTTGTGCATATATCGACCAGGAGACCAATGTGCCCACTCAAAGAAGAATTTGTAGGTGCATGCTATAACAACAATAGCCAGGAAGGATCACGCTGGACAAGATCTGAGTGTTAAAAGTCGGTAAAGGGATATTCTTGATAACCTTTCAGTATCAATATTGCAAACCATAATGCCCAAAAGGGGTGAGAGAGAGCTAGAGAGAGAGAGACAGAGACACAGAGACAGAAAGACAGAAAGAAAGAGAGAGACCAGGAAGAGAGAGAGAGAGAGAGAAAGAGAGAGAGAGAGAATAGGGGGTGAGGTGGAGGTGATGGGAGGGAACCTGGGGACCCTGGTGCTGGGAAATGTGCCCTGGTGGAGGGATGGGTGTTGGAGCACTGTGTGACTGAAACCCAATCATGAACAGCTTTATCAGGGTCTATCACAGGGATTCAATGAAAAAGATTTTTTTTAAAAAAGCAATTTGTAGGTTCATATTCAAATGGAAGTTTCTTGCCAATGAGCATGACCGCTGTGAAGCCATGTGGGGGGGGGACTCATATAGGGCTGGGGCAGGCAGGAGAGCCTACATCCAGTCCTATCTGCTGGATTGATGAGCGGGACCAAAAGAGATGAGGAGGCACTGCCCCAGTGCACACAAACGGATGCAGTTCCCGACTGGAAGGACAGCATGGAAATCCATCATGGGATGCATGCCCAATAAAGAATACTCAGAGTGGGGCCAGAGCAATAATAGCATAGTGAGGAGGACATTTGCCTTGCACGTGGCCGACCCGGGTTCGATCCCCGGCATCCCATAGGGTCCCCTGAGCACCGCCAGGAGTGATTCCTGAGTACAGAGCCAGGAGTCAGCCCTGAGCATCACTGGTGTGACCCAAGAAGAAAAGAAAAAAAAACTCAGAGTGACCCACTCTCTGGAGGAAAACCAATCTATGGCCATCCATCAGTGGGAACAGAGAAGGCCATGAAATCATTCAGACACGAGGTCCACAGCAATGAGGCACTCACCCCCAAACTGAGGCTAAGAGGAAAATCAGACAGAACTTATCCTATAGGAACTCGGAGCCTATAAACACTCAGGGAAAAGGGCTTTGGGTGGGGGTGAGTCTAGGCCTATTTATATCTACATCATTCTTGTTTGCTTTTTTCCCTTTGTTTCTGTTTTTTTTTTCTACCTAGGATCCTGTCCTTTTCAACTGCTCTTCCCGATAAATTATGTTCTGACAAAGATACCGCCTCACCATCTTCTCAATTTATTGCTTCAAATCACAGTCTCACTGTGCCAGAAGTTTCACTGCATCCACTGGAGATGCTGCATGCAATTGGAGACACTGCATCCAATCTGGTGTTTGGTACACATTTGTTTGCTGCATCCTCCGTGCAGTGGGCCCAGAGGGTATACGAGTGCAGTAGCAATGGGAGGGGGTCAATTTGGGCCCACCTGGTGATTGCTCCGCAGTGTTTTAGTCCTAGAACTTGAAAACTCTGCCAGGCCCTGATGCAAGCCTATTCCCGGAGAGTCTGTTCCTCTGCTCTCTCAGAAAGTGATGGCCCTAATGTCAGGGTTTGTGACGAGCTCTCTGGGGTGTTAAGAACAGAACCAGAACTACAGGTTCATTCTATACATTGGTTCCTAGCAACTGCCACTTAGCGGAGAGGAAGCGAGGCAGCGTCCCACGGACTTTTAAGTATGGGGCTGGAAGGAAATCATATGTTATTTGACTTGGAAAGTTTTACTTCTTTCTTTTTTCCATTTTCCTTCTTTCTTTTCATCTTCCCTTCATGCATGCCTGTCTTCCTTCCTTCCTTCCTTCCTTCCTTCCTTCCTTCCTTCCTTCCTTCCTTCCTTGTTTTCTACCTTCTTTCTTTTCTTTCTCTCTCTTTCTTCCTTTCCTTTCCTTTTCTTTCTTTCTTCCTACCTTCCCTTCTTCCTTTTTCATTCCTTCCTTTCCTTCCTTTTTCTCTTTCTCTTCCTTCCTTTCTTCTTCCTATCTTCCTTCCTTCCTTCCTTTCTTTCTTTCTTTCTTTCTTTCTTCCTTCCCTCCTTTCTTCCCTCCTCCCCTTCCTTCCTCCCTCCCTCCCTTCCTTTCTCCCTTCCCTCCCTCCCTTCCTCTCTCTTTCCCTCTCTCCTTCCTTCCTTCCTTCCTCCCTCCCTCCCTCCTTCCCTCCCTTCCTCTCTCCTTCCCTCCCTCCCTCCCTCCCTCCTTCCTTCCCTCCCTCCCTTCCTCTCTCCTTCCCTTCTTTCCTCCTTCCCTTCCTTCCTTCCTTCCTTCCTTCCTTCCTTCC